AGCGATGCGGCTGATAACCTGTAGTTGGTGATAGCCACTGAGATCACACGCACTGATTGAATATCCGTTAAGTGGTAGTAGGAGTCACTGTACCATTGCACAAAGCAAACGGACTTTTCCCACTAGAGCACTGAATGCGACGGTCATCCATAGGAATGCACAAGGGGACAATACTTTACACGTGGAATATCTACAAGAGTTATAGGCTTCAGAGTTTAGGGTTCAGGGTTTATGGTTTTGAGTCTCGGGCTTAGGGTATTGAGCATATGGGGACAGTTTGCCTAAAGAGGTTTAATTAGGCTAGCCGCTTGGCAGGCGCTCGATCACCTCGGGGCAGCTGTCAATAGGTCCGGAGGCCAAGACACCGAAGAAACTTCGGGCAGTCTGCAGTCTTGCCGGAATTGAGGGTTTCGGGCCTTGTTGGAATACCCAGCGTGCGAGCATGCGGCGTTTCGGTTCCGAGCAGGGTTTTCAACATTTCCAGTTTGATGACTTTTCTGGACCTGAGTGAAAATTTGTAAGGTCCGGGAAAAGGTTTCGAGCGCTCGGCTCACGGAGGAAGGCAAAATTGAGCGGTGGAAGGTCAGAGGGTTTTCGATATGCGTGACCATGGCTTTCAAACAGGAGGCCAGAGGTAGTCGGGGAAAGGGGTGCCGCTGCTGGTGGCGATGGTGAGCAGGAACAAAGGCGAGCACCTTGATCATCATGATATTGATATTGCTGCTGCTGATGATGGTGGTGATGGTGAAGCTGATTGGTGATGATGATGATGATGATGATGATTATGACGATGATGATGATGATGATGATGAAAATGATAGTGATGATAGTGATGTTAACGATGGTGCGGCCATGGTGATGATGTGAGAGAGCAGAGCTTCGATTTTGACTCCTCCTCCTCCTCATCAGGATCTAGGATCCAGGATCATCGTCATCAACAACAACATGATCGCCAGCACCAGCACCAGAACCTCAGCATCGTAAGCATCGCCACGGTCGGGAAGCTGTTGCTGTCATCATCGCCCGGAACACCCGAATCGGCTGCAACCCCGAAGTAAGAAGCGACACAGGAGCAAACATGCTGCACTCCTTCGAATGTTGCACGCTGTGATCAACATGTCGCAGCCACTGACCAACCTAGGTGGAGGCGGATCGCCCGAGCCCAGCGAAGTTGGCGAGGCCGTGGACAGAAATTCCCATGGGGGTAGCAGTTTGGAGACTTGTGGCTAGTGACGACCCCGCAGTCGCGGTGACTTTTGGGGGCAGCCTGAGCCGATGATGTCCTGGCAAAGAGCTGGACTTCAGCATCGAGGGTTCTCTGTTGAGTGGGTCTGCGGGGGCCAGATTCTCTTTGGGGCTCGCAGTTCCTGCTTGCGATTCCAGGACCCGTCTGCTCTGTTGGGCAGCCTGTAGTGTGCACCGTAACCTGAGCCCAGAAATCTTTTTGAAACACGAAATCAATCATTTGCCGCGCTCATGCCCTTAGGCTTCAGAATTGAAAACTCAAGAGCGAAAGTCCGAACTTTGCGTACCCTGAAATGCGGAGGTACAAGTTCCTCATAGATTCACAGGTTCCAACCGTCAGTCTGAGGCTTTGAAGCCTGCAGAGCATGAGAAGCCTGAAGCCCAACACACATCGGCCTGCAGCACTGTGCCCCCGAAACACTCTCAGTGCAAGCCTTATTCTGAGCCATAAACTGTTAGGGTGGCGAAGACGCCGGTCATCGTGCACAAAGGCTCCGACCCTGTTGAGGTCTTTAGGATTACGTTGCCTTCGACACTTGCACGCAGGGCTTGGGGTTGTATAGGAAGGGTTCAGGGTCGAGAGGTTGGGCTTGGTGCTCCAAGAGTTCCAAATACCTGCTCGAGGGTGATGAGCATTGAGGATTCTAAGATTTGCGGTCAATTGCCAAAGCTTTGGGAGCATCGAAGCTCTGAAATTTGTTGACTGACTTCTGGCAGCTAAACAACTGCAGACATCCTCGAGCATACCACCATTCTGTAGTCTCGCAATTATGCATGTGTGCATACGTACATATATATATATATATATCTATCTATCTCTCGATCTATATACCTACGCAAAACACATCACAAACTATGTGTCGGTATGAATGCAAAGCGAAGGAGCTATGTACTGCATACTATATGTCCTGCGCTTCAATGTACCACCATGTTCTCGAGCCCTTTGAACCCGAGACCTGAGGAAAGTTGTATCGAAGACCTCAGCCGGAACCATTGAACGTGTGCCGACCGAAAGGTATTGAGAAAGTCCCGAGACCCTGCGCCAAGCACCCTGAAACCCGCGCTTCTTGTCAGACCCAACGCCCTGTAGCCTGTAAAGACAGCAATGCAGCCGAAACCCGAAGCTCAAGAGACAGAAGGCCCACGTTGAAAGCTCCTCCCATCTTCTGCACAATCAGAGTTCTTCATTTGCATGTAGCATGGTGTTCAAACCCTGAACCCTATCTCCGAAAGCTTCATTATGAGGTGAAGACCAGAAACCGGAAAGGCTTCAAAT